TTGGACACTCTAACTGTGACGAAGTTCTTCCTAATGTCCAATCTAAATCTGCTCTCTGCTAGCTTGTGGCCATTATTTCTTGTAACCCCCGGGGGCGCCTTGGTGAATAAATCCTCACCAATTCCCTTCTGTGCCCCCATGATGAACTTATAGGCAGCCATAAGGTCGCCTCTCAACCTTCTCTTGCGGAGGCTGAATAGATCCCGTTTCTCTAGTCTCTCCTCGTAGGGCTTGGTCTGTAGGCCCTTAACCATACGAGTGGCCCTTCTCTGGACCTTCTCCAGGTTATCCGCATCCTTCTTGAAGTGTGGCGCCCAGAATTGCACGCAGTACTCCAACTGCGGTCTGACCAGTGCCCGATAGAGGGGAAGTATCACCTCCTTGGACCTATTCGTCATGCATCTGCTGATGCACGATAAAGTGCCATTGGCTTTTCCGATGGCTTCGTGACACTGCCGACTCATGTTCATCTTGGAGTCCACTAGGACTCCAAGATCCCTTTCCACTTCCGTGCCACCCAGCAGGTCATTTCCTAGGCTGTAGGTGTGCTGGGCATTTTTCCTCCCTAGGTGCAGCACTTTGCATTTCTCCTTGTTGAACTGCATTCTGTTGTTTTCTGCCCACTTGTCTAACCTGTCCAGGTCTGCTTGCAGCTGTTCCCTGCCCTCCAGCGTGTCCACTTCTCCCCATAGCTTTGTGTCATCTGCAAACTTGGACAGAGTACATTTCACTCCCTCGTCCAAGTCGCTGATGAAGACATTAAAGAGTATCGGCCCCAGGACCGAGCCCTGCGGGACCCCACTGCCCACACCCTTCCAGGTCGAAACCGACCCATCCACCACGACTCTCTGGGTGTGACCCTCCAGCCAATTCACCACCCACCAGACTGTGTAGTCATCCAAGTCAGACTTCAAGAGGGATGCGGAGAATCCTGAGGGTTCAGAGGAGGCCACTCGTATGGTCAGAGGCCTGCAGGCAAGGCCCTACGAGGAGAGACTGAGGGACCTACATCTCTTCAGCCTTCACAAGAGAAGACTGAGAGGTGATTGTGTGGCTGCTATAAATTCATCAAGGGAAGGCAGCAGGGAATAGGAAACGTTCTATTTACTAAGGCACCCCCTGAAGTAACTAGGAACAAAGGCCACAAATTGACGGAGAGCAGATCTAGGTGGGACACTAGGAAGAGCTTCTTCACAGTAAGGGTTGCCAGAACCTGGAATGGGCTTCCCAGGGAGATGGTAGTGCTCTCCCCTACCCTGGGGGTCTTCAAGAGGAGACTGGACAAGCACCTGGCCAGAGTCATCTGACTCCAGCGCTCTTTCCTGCCCAGGGCAGGGGGTCGGACTCAATGACCTACTGAGGTCCCTTCTGACCCTAGCATCTATGAATAAACACCTGTGTTCCCCAACGGCTATTTAAGAAAAGTGTTAATTATTTACCATTCTCAAATCCATCCCGACAAACTTGTTGACTCTGCCCTTTACACATTAATCTATAACTACCAATAAGCACTTCATTTTCCCTAGACATATTGTGAATGAGAGCTCTAGTTCACACCATCTCTCTTGGACTTCAATGCTCTTTTCCAATCATCTGGGATTTCTAGATTAAAACATGTAATTTAAAAGTCATTCATTTATTTTACTGCTAAAATATTATTGACCACAGATATAACCTGCCATTATCCAATGAATTACCCACCTTAATCTCAGTGAGATATTTGTTCATCACTGCATCAGCAATTAGTCTTCTTTGGGTTTCTCACTGTGAGTAGCACCCAAAAATGCAAAAGGGTCTGCTGCTAATACAGGATTGCAGCCGAGTAACAGGCCAAGCAATTCCCCCAGTTATCAACTCCCATGTATGGTGGCTTCGTCCGTCGTCCTCCCAACCTTTCTGCCTGTACTCACAGCAACCAACAGGTAACGCTGATATGACCACACTACAGCTACCCCGTACAGGAAAAGCACACGAGACCTTAGCCAGGAGGGAAAGGAACTGCTGCCAAGCCAGACAAATCGAAGCACAGTTCCACTGCCACGCACCTGTTGCAGGTGGGCAAGCTGTGCAACACTCAAAAGAAAACCATCAAGACTCAAGCTTTTCTCTGGTGAGAATGAGTAAATAACCTGAGATTGCCAGAATCCCAAGGAACCGGCTGCAGCATGGGTTTGTCTGTGCTTCTGAAGAAAACACAGCACCTGGCCTGTGTGCACTCATGACAGCAAAGCCCTGTGGAGCCCCATGCCTTCACACTGCTCCTTAAATAGGGCATCTCAGAAATAACTCATCTTGGGGAGGAATAGTACTGGGTCTAGGGGAATGGGGAGGTCAGAAATGGAACTCAATTGTTTGTCAGAGCTGCATTTTTTAATTTTTAAATATTGCAAGAGAACTTTGTTAACCTCAAGAGCAGGGGAGCTAGTACTGGTTATTAAACTTAAAGGGACTGCCAGAAAAAGGAGCTGCAGCTTATGCAATATGTATATCACCAGACATTAAGGAAATGAATACTACTAGTCACTTACAGGCAAAAAGATTTTAGAATTCCATAACATCCTTCAATTTGCCTGTGCCATATGAAGTTTCAATTCCAGCCGAGAGAAATTTTACAAACTTTGCATTCTCCTTTGCCTGGGAAAGGGTGCATGAGGCTGAAAGCTTGCAAATAAAGAATTTTGTTTCACAACTATGTAGTTGGTCTAATAAAAGATATCACCTCTACCAAGAGTCCTGACTGCTTTTGCCCGTAGACCAACGTGGCTAAAACCTGTATCTTTAGAATTCCATTGTGCTTTTAAAGTAACCGCGAACAAACAGAAAGCTTGGAAATTCAGAAGAGATGAACTATTCTAGCTCTGCCCCTGTTCACCATCAGTTGTCAACTCAACTCTTGCACAGAGCACTGAGGAGACATTCTAATGAAGGCAGGCTTTTAACAGGATTTAAGCTGTTCCAATGGCCACTTGGGGAGAAAAACTAAGAACTACTCTTGTCAGTAAAAGAATAGCTTTAAAAAGCAGCAGAATTTTTCCTTCGCTTTCAGTTATTTTCAAGATAAAGCTAATATGGCAGTTCAATCGTGGGGATTTTTTTAAATCTTGCATTTGGGTAGCCATGATTAGGTATTTTCCAAAAACTTTACATTTTTTAATAGTTAATTTCCAAGCTGATGTTTGCATGGGGAACTCCCCCCACCCCTGGATACTTCTCTGAAAGGGCCCCCCTACCCAAATACTGGAATAGGCCACTGATTTCTACACCACCAAAGGGACAGTTTGTGAGTTTCAACAGTGACTTGAGATTCAAGATCTACGTTTGCCTCTCCCCACCCCCCAACAGCAATCCCCTGCTGAAGCAACTCTTGTACAATTTTATTCTAAAAAATATTTTCCTCGTCGGTTACTGTTGAAAGACGAAAGCTATGAGACTTGTACAAGGCAAACACCTTAAATGGTCCATATACAAAGTGCTGTGAAAAGCATGGAGTTAATTAAAGGAGAATAGGATGATTCTCTGCAGTCTCTCTCTGCTGTTCCCTAAAGACTGAATGTTTCTTCCTTAGGTAAGCAGTTCCCAACAGTGGCCTGTGAGCAACCAATGTCATGCACCACCTTCCCCCCACGGGCAGGGAGCTCTGCAAAGATGGTTGGTCACATTGTGCCAATTCTCCTCATTTCTGTCTGCTAAACTGCATGAAAAGAACACAGTAAATATTTCTCTAATGTCAATTCTCCATATTGCTTTAACTGCCACAGCTGTAATTTTGTTATCCCAGGAATGGGCAGTACCCATGAGATTCTCACTACTAAAATGTGGTCTGCATTGATAAAGCCAGAGATGCACTGCCCTGCAGGCTTTTATTTAAACTACCTGCAGCATTGATGCTCACTATGAATTTGGAGGAGGATGCATGTTAGTCTAGACAACTGCTGTGTTGACAGCATTAAATAAGAGGTAAAAACACCAAAACCACAGACTGAAAAGGAGAAATTTATGGTGTGCCATTGCCTACAGCTATAAACGTTTTTGGTAGCTTTGGCACCAGCAAATACCCAAGCAGCCTGACACATGGTCTCAAGCTCTGAACTAGGAATTTACTGTCCTCTTATCTAAAAAAGACAACAAACCACAACTACCAAGAAGTGAAATAAAAATGCATCTAAGGCCAGACAAAGCAAGACAAACAAACAAAAAAGTATGGAACTCATAATTCACAAGGTCAGATGGGATCATAACGATCACGGTGACCAGGGCTGAACTGGCAGCCCACACGACCCACAAGCAGTGAACGTGCACTTCCCAGGCCCCTACTCAGCTGCTGCTGCTGCTGCCTTGGACACTCTGGCTGCTGCGGGGTCTACATTCCCCCTTCCTCCCTCACTCAGCTTTCATTTCTGCTCCCTCCTGCCCCAGGGGGCTGGGCTGGGAAGCCCATGGCACGATTCAGCAAAGGAGCTGAGATAGGGCCCCTTCCCCCATGTGCATGGTGCAGGAATGGGGTGGGACGGGGGAGGCTCTCACTGGTGCAGCCCACCTGGCGTGCAGGCGCCAGCTGCTGAGAAGTTGGACACCTTGATCCAGACAAGCCTCCCATGAAACAGGCAACAGGACTTCCCCAAGCTAGTTCTTGTTTTAAATAAAGATTTTGTATTACTTTAAGAAGGCAAAGAGGACCTGAAAAGAGTACTGTGCAAGTCCGAATCAAATCCTGACTCTGGAAGTCATGCACAGTAACCACACAATCCCCATAAAAAGCTGGTCACGAGAGCAGGTGCCCTGAACCCCTCACCAGACCTGTTAAAAACAATGCTAGTAAAGTACGTTCTCCTACCCTTGGGAAAAAGATGCCTGCAGAATAAGTAAAGTATTAGCGCAGGTCCCCCAGGAATCAACTGGCAGTAAAAAGAAACTTGAAAAAGGGGGGATTTCTAGAAAATGTTCACAATGCTCAAAATTTCTTCCAAAAATGAAGTCTTCAGCATTTGTTTTACAATTACCTGTTTACCTTCAGCCTGTTTTACAATTACACCGAAGACACAACGAATACTATGCATGGGATACGGGGCAGGATGGGCCGTTGGTCTGACCCAGTCCGGCACTCGCGTCCCCGTCCCAGGGAAGACGCTGCGTTGGGAAGAGCAGGTCCCTTGGGGATGGGAGGGAGTTAAGTGTCCGCTCTGGCCCGACGTCTCAGAACCGGACGAGACGCTGCCTCGGCCCCACCGAACAACATGCAACGGCAGCCGTCTCAAGGGGCCACAAACTACGAAAAGGAAGAGTGGGCGAGACCGGGACCGACCCCGACAGACAGGATCCAGGCAGCCCATCATCCCTCCCGCTTCTCCTTGGGAAAGCGGCAGACGCCAGTTGCCAGCAGCAGGGCCAGGGTGAAGGCAGTGCAGGGCGGCGGGGGGAGGACGAGAGGCTGCCACGGGGGAAGACAGGGAACCAGGCCCGGGCTCGGCTCGCGGGCAGGGTCGGGAGGAGCCCCATAAACCAACTGAACCGGAGACGCAGCAGCTCTGGGGGGCGAGGGCGAGGGCGCGTGCCACCGCAAGGAAAAGACGCGCGCGCCGAAGTCTGTCCCGCGCAAAGCCCAGGCAGCCCCCGGGCTGGGCGGGCCCCCGCAC